GTCATACCATTTGCAAATAAAGGTAACTTTGCATCCCTATTTCCTACTTAAACAATTTAATTTTTTTGTCCAATTGAATAACTGGTACTTTCATAAAAAATAAACGTGGATAATAGTGGTGATGGTGGACATCCTTGTATTATGACTAAACAGTAAGAATATTTTTAATGTTTCTCTGTGAATATGACACTGGCTTTTGGTAGCACATTTCTAAAAGAAAACCTAAAGGTGTCTAAAGAGTATTATTTAATATTAATAAAATGGGATCTATAAATATGAAGTAATAATAGTAAAATATTCAATCAAATGCCTTACTTTTCTTAATTATTCATGTCAAGAGGTATTTCTGCTAACTAAACTGAATATTAAAAATGTTTCTACAGATAAATTGTATTTTGTAACTAAGTAGCTAAGTTTTATAGAAACTAAATAAAATTTAGAATTCACTTACTTAAATGTAATGGAAAATATTTTTCATTGTCGCAAAATTTACAATGACCAGAAAAACAGAACTGAACTGACCTTTTATAAGCAATTATCTGCATTACACATACAGAAAGACTGTGATTAAATTAATGGTTGCTGAAATAGCATCTTTTTGGGGTGAGCACATCTCACACACACACACACACACACACACACACACACACACTATCCTTCCTGCATATTCAGTAGCTGCAACTCCAAATCAAAATTAAAGTCTCGGCCGGGCGCAGTGGTTCACACCTGTAATCCCAGCACTTTGAGAGGCTGAGACAGGTAGATCACCTAAGGTCGGGAGTGTGACACTAGCCTGGACAACATGGTAAAACCTCGTCTCTACTAAAAATACAAGGAATCAGCCAGGCGTGGTGGTGCCCACCTGTAATCCCAGCTACTCCAGAGGCTGAGGCAGGAGAATCATTTGAATCCAGGAGGCAGAGGTTGCAGTGAGCCGAGACGGTGCTACTGCACTTCAGCCCGGCCGACAGAGCCAGACTCCGTCTCAAAAAAAAAAAAAAAATTAGGCTTTCAATGCCACCTACACCCATATTTAAGTATATATAATATAATAGCTTACTTATTCATTCATTCAATAAATATTGAAAACTTACCAGTTGCAAGTTAATTAGATCCTGACTGTGTGACAGTAAACATCATGCCATATTCATCCCATAAGTCTAGTGGGAAATACAGATATTTAAACAAATATTACAACCAAACATTCAGCTAAGAAAGCTGGAACCAAGACATTGTTATTTCTTCTGTGGCAGTATAAACACCAAAAATATTTCTGTAAAATAAAAACATTTGTAAATGCCTGTAAATATTCGTAAGTACAAATTCTTATTTGTAAAGGTAAACAACAAAAGTCATGATTATGTTCAATATTGTCACTTGTTTTGTGATATGGTGTTGTGGGTTCAATTGTGTCCCCCCAAATTCACATTCTGAATTCCTAACCCCCAGTAGCTAAGAATGTGACCTTATTTGGAAATAGGGTCTTTTTGGATGGAATTAGTTAAGATGAGGCCATACTGGAGTAGGGTGGACCTTTGATTCAGTATGATTGATGTTCTTTAAGAAAGAGAAATTTGGCATACGCATATGCACAGCAAGAACGAAATGTGAAGTTGAAGGCAGACATGAGAATGATGCAGCAGAAGCCAAGAAACGACAAAGACTGCCAGAGAACTACCAGAAGTTAGGGGAGAGCCATAGAACACATTATCTCTCACAGCCCTCAGAAGGAACCAACCTTGCCAACACCTTTATTTCAAACCTGTTGCCTCCAGAACTGTGAGACAATAAATATTTGTTGTCTAACAAAGTTGTGGTACTTTGTTACATTAGCCCTAGCAAACTAATACACATGAGATGGGGCTTCATGTAGTAGAGGATGGTGAAATTGTGATAAGTAAGACCCGAGGCCTCTCTCTCTCTCTCACACACACACACACACACACACACACCTTGCTAAGATATTTATAACTGACAGTTTATAACTGATAATACAATCTAATTATTCCCAAAGTCTTTCCAGGCATTAACAGGAAGAATAATACCTTCATGTAGTAGAGGATGGTGATATTGTGATAAGACCCGAGGACTCTCTCTCTCTCTCTCTCTCACACACACACATACACTCCCCCACCCCACACACACACACCTTGCTAAGATATTTATAACTGACAGTTTATAACTGATAATACAATATAATTATTCCCAAAGTCTTTCCAGGCATTAACAGGAAGAATAATACCTTCATGTAGTAGAGGATGGTGATATTGTGATAAGACCTGAGGACTCTCTCTCTCTTTCTCTCACACACACACACACTCCCCCCCCCCACACACACACACATACACCTTGCTAAGATATTTATAACTGACAGTTTATAACTGATAGTACAATCTAATTATTCCCAAAGTCTTTCCAGGCATTAACAGGAAGAATAGCCCCTTCACTGTTCCTTATAGTCCCAGAAGCCTCTGTTTCAACTATGCTACAAGAAAGTATCTGCTGATACTACCTTAGTATCTAGGCAAATTCATAGCATTGTGCTAAACAATTAAAGATCAAACTTTTGGAAGAAATGTCCAAGTATCATTTTTCACAGGTTTTGACCTCAGAAATTCAAATAAACAGTGATAACTCCCACGATTACTTTCTTTTGAATTAATGAACAATTTCAAACATGAAATTTAAGGGCTGGACATACTGAGTCACACAACTCTAAAGAACATTGCATACAGTGTTTTTGAAAGCTTGTATATTTAACCCTTTAAGTTGAAACAGGAAAATAAATAGTAATATTTATTATTTTATGATTATAAGAACCAGAAAACACTTCCTATAAAAAATATCATAAAAAGCTGATGAAAATGGCACTCAAATCTATACTCACATGACCTATCACTGTTCAAGAGCAAAGAACAATATTTGAAGGAGAATAAAAAGACTTTCTGTTTTGGTGAGTTTTAAAAATCTTGCCTAAAGAAAGAGGGCTTTCCTTAAAACTTATATTCTTGGTTTTACACAGACATAATACTAATATTTATATTAATAAGTTACTTGCCATGTCTGCTTTAAGGAGAGCCCTGAGGGCCCTTATGAACAGCAGTAGTGACACCTGCTGTTCAAATAAGGCAGCTTGGGGTGTCAGCCAGGCCATGTGTGTATCCTGGAACCCTTCAGGAATCCAGTGAAACTTGTAGATCCTTTCTCAAGAAAATAAAACATATTGCCATATAAATACAAAATTTTCCTACAATATACATAATTTATGAATCCCTGAACTAAATAATAGGCTCACTTGAGTTCTATATTTATCTAAAATATTGTAAACTTTCAAGTGGATGACATAATTCTATAAATTCACGACAGTATTTTAAAAGGAGCAAATTCGAGGCAATTTACCTCAATCATTACCATATTGTTATGAGTCTGGGCCTATAAATTAATGCCTCCAGGATGATTAAGTATGTAAAAAGTTAATAGGTCCAACCAGACAATTAATATATTTCCATAGATATTAGTCTTGCTTAGGTTTCTATGGTTTTATTGTCATTTCAAATCATTGTTTTCTATAGTTATTATTCATAGGTGAGTATATTATTTAGTTCCTCAAGTATATATTTTATAATTATAGTATTTCCTTGCAAGGAAATACCATCACCGGCCACTTTTACAGAAAATCAATTCTTAGGACAAACTCACAGTCAAATTCAGAGATGTTTTATCTTCAAGTAAAAACATGACCTTAAGGCCGGGCGCGGTGTCTCATGCCTGTAATCCCTGCACTTTGGGAGGCCGAGAGGGGCGGATCACCTGAGGTCAGGAGTTTAAGACCAGCCTGGCCAACATGGTGAAACCCCGCCTCTACTAAAAATACAAAAATTAGCCGGGCGTGGTGGCGGGCGCCTGTAATCCCAGCTACTCTGGAGACTGAGGCAGGAGACTCGCTTGAACCCGGGAGGAGGAGGTTGCAGTAAGCCAAGATTGCGCCATGGCCCTCCAGCCTGGGCGACAAGAACAAAACTCCGTCTCAAACAAAAAACCATGACCTTAATGTTTTTAATGAATTTCCAAGTGAGGTTGATTTACACTGCTATTCTTTTGCTAGATTGTTTCCCCCTCTCAAAGTGTATGCAGTACGCTGTCAGGACAGATCAGTGAAACTGAAACAGGGCCAGTAAAATGTTTTGTCTATTTAAGTTTGCAAATGCCCAAGTCCATCCATTTTTCTTTTTACATAGAAAAATAATTAGGTAGGGTTGATCAAAACCGGAGATTTTACCAGGGTAGGAAGCAAAAATACCACTACTTGGCACAAGGATATGTATAAATAAAAATGGCTAAAGTCTCCAATTGTGTCTTTCTTCTACCAGCTTTGAAAAGCTGTACCCTGGCATTGTTGAAGCCACAATAATCAGCAGACAACTAGGAAATGGCCAAGAGCTATGTAGCGTTGAGAAATTAAAAAAAAAAAAAAATCTATTAGCAGAAAATGAATATGGGTTTTTTTTATATCTACATGTCAAAATTTTCCAAATTAAAACAGCCATTCCTCAACATTCACTCAGCAAGTGTTTACTGAACTGTTTAAGCGAAATTGTTTTCAGGTGTTAAGCCTACAAGTGTCCAAGTGCTTCTCGCCAGGATTGGAACCAGGAGACAGAAAGCAAGCAGGCGACCTCCAAAGAGATCAAGGCAGTGGAAGCGCCTTAGATAGAGCCCACGGGAGTTTGCTCTCCAGACGCTTAGGCTCTCTGAATAAAAAGCATTAAACTCCGAGGAATACAGCATGAACAACCAGGGCCCCAGCCAAGACATTTAAGGCTGAAGGTAAGGCAGAAAACATAATTCGAAGACTTCTTCAGAGGAGCGAGTGAAATCCTCCAGTCGGGCGCTTCCAGGTGTCTTCCGTCTACAGCCTCGAGACTCCGCCCTAGGGGCGGTCCTGAGGAGGGAGACCCGCCTCTTGATCCCAGAGGGCCGGGGGAGACTAGCGCGCGTGCGCAGAGCTTGCATCACATCCGCCGCCTGGCCTCCCAATTCCGGAAGGTGCAGCACAGTTGTGGCGGCGGGTACTGCGTTAGTGATTAGGGTTTCTTCCCTGCCGGAGGTGGGATACGCGGTAGCATCATGGTCGAGGTAAAGTGACACTGGGACTCTCAAGAGTCGTTTGTCTCTGGACTGTTTTTCTTTGGCAGTGGGCGTGGGGGATTGAGAGTGCTTGGAGTCCGAAGAGAAAAGAGGCTACGGGGGAAGCTGTTTGGCCGAGGCCGGGTGGTCTCTTCATCGGGTTTTCGGGGAAGGGGTAGGAGCCGGATGAGAACCCGAGTCGGAGGTTCAGTCCGGGCGCTAAGCCTGAGATAATTCGTCCAGTCCTCGTTTGACTCTTGGGAGCTGGAAACTGTCCTTGGAGGCGGGGCCTCTGTTGGTGTTCGACCACTGGTACTCGCCGCCCTCGGGGCAGTGTCAGTGATTCTGTGCCCGAAAAGATTGGCGGTCTTCTCCATCTTGCGTTCAAGTCGTCTCTTATTTCAACTCTACTCCCAGAAAAACTTGCCATTCTTTACATCTTTCCCTGGCATGAACAGCCAGCCATTCTGTTAGCTGGTCTTGTCCATGTTACCCCACATGTTTATTGATTCCATTCACTTTTCTCCGTATCCACTGTAGTCCACCTTAATTGAGACCAACATCATCTTTCACCGGGCCTGGTGCATTAGCTCCCCGTTGATTTCCTTGCTTCCATTTTGTTCCATAAGTTGTTCTGTTTAAAATGTAAGTTGTTCATACCTTTCTTGTTTAAAACCCTTTACTGACTGTGTTGCTAGAAGAAAACATAGGCTGTTGTAATAGTCTAAAAGACCTTACCTAATCTGGACCTTGTCTACCCTTGCAACCACAAAGCACCATCTCATCCACCATATACAGCTGTGCTGCCCTCCTTGTATTATTTCAGTTAACTGAACGTTTTTTTACATGACATTTCCATCAGCCTGGTTCGTTTTTATCTCTGTTTTGTGCAAGGCTAACTCCCTTTCTGCTTAAATATCACTTTAGTGAAGGCTTTCACAATTATACTTAGTCCTTCGTTTCCTGACCCAGTGCCTTGCTTGTTGCCCTCATAGCACTTATCAAAATGTGGAATTATTTTACTTTTTATTTGTCTGTTTCCTCTTGAGCACAGGGACCATGACTACCTTTTATCATTCTATTGTGAGATTCTAGCACAATACGTGCCAGACACACAGTAGGAGCTCAGTAAATATTTATTGAATAAATGACTAAACTACGGCATCACTCAGTTGCTATACCTGAGGTTCTAGCCAAAGAGGAGCTTCCTCCTCTTCTCTAAACTTGACTCCTGTAGCTCACAACAAGTAGCTATGGTGAGTGGTATAAAGCTTTTTACATATTTAAACATGTGAAGTGTATAATCAATCTGACGTTAGGTTATGATTTGTGTAATTTGTAGATAGGTGTGTAATTACTTTTTTTTTTTTTTTTTTTAGGAGGTACAGAAACATTCTGTACACACACTTGTGTTCAGGTCATTGAAGAGGACCCATGACATGTTTGTAGCTGATAATGGAAAACCTGTGCCTTTAGATGAAGAGAGGTTGGTATAGTTTTTTTTTCAATTGCTGAAATATTTAGCATTCTAATATTGGGGGAAGAGAGCAGGGAGAGGGAGACCTTTAAAGATAAACTGGTAATGCTCTTGGGGTAATTCAATAATGAGTGGTGTTTTGGCATAATTTAAGCTGATTTAACTTTTTTCTTTTGGCCTTTTACAGTAAAAGTTCCATTAATTAATTGCATTTTACAAATACGCAGTAATTAAGAGAGTCCCTTTTAGGTATTTTATTTTATAATCAATCACTTTGTATGTACTTTCAGCTTCCCGCTGCTCTCAGAGCCTTGCTGAGCTGAAATTGTACCTGGCCAGTACTTCTACTCCCATCTTTTCTCGTTAGTATGATGAAGATTTTTGAGTGGTGGCATATTTTTGGTTCTACATATCCAGCTCCAGTCTGGGATTGCATTATGTGCAGTGTTCCTTCTTTGTCCTTTACCCTTTTAAAATCTACTTAACTCCTCAAACAAGCATTTACATTTAATTTGTAAAGTAGACTATTTTTAAAAGTAATATAAGTGCATTTCTTTTTAAAATATTGAACCAATTAAGTACTTTTCTTAGTTCTAACTAACCTGTTTGGATACATCTAGTAAAGGTTGCTATAGAGTTTTTACTATATTTATATTTTGAAGGAAAGCGTATTGACTTTGAGGTTTCTTAAAGGGTATGTTAGTTTCTATATATCTTTCAAGCAGACCCTTGATAATTTATCAGAAAATATTTTCTATTAGGTAACAAACTAAAATATTACTTAGGTTTAATGAATGCTGTGTGGTGGAATGTGAGCAAAAGAACAGATATAGTGGGGAAATGCACTTGGAAATTTTTGATTCTTTTAAATACTACTTAAAATCTTACTAGAAACTTTTCCTACATGATTGGGCAAACGTAAGCTGTCTAAGTGTTTGTTTTAAAGTATTTATGGATACGTTCTTATGTTTATAATTTCTAAATAGTCACAAACGGAAGATGGCAATCAAGCTTCGTAATGAGTATGGTCCTGTGTTGCATATGCCTACTTCGAAAGAAAATCTTAAAGAGAAGGGTCCTCAGAATGCAACGGATTCATATGTTCATAAACAGTACCCTGCCAATCAAGGTGAGTATGTTATTATCAGAAATGTCAGACGTATATGTGAATTTTAAAAATAGAAAAATAAAATGTGTTATTTTTGCCCCTGCTGGCAGGACTTAGGTGTGGTCATACAGTATTTAATGGCTGTACCAGTATTATAATGGAAGTTTTTATCCTCATGGGAATACTGAGACATTGGTTGATGACCTTTTCCTTATAGGAAATAAAAATGGTAGTATAATGATGGTAGAGATTCTTAGAATGTGGAGAAGGTCACAGTAGAGATTAAAGGAAAAAATTGGAGAATATTCTTAACCTGTGGGGATACCATCTATCCTGTCTGTAATTCAGAAAGATGAAATTAAATACTGAAATCTTAATAAATGAAGAGAATTCAAGCTTCCACAAGAAACCATTTGCTTGGAAGAAATACCAGAGTGGATTATCACTTGATAGGAGGGCTTCTTTGTATACCATTGCTATATAGCAAATGGACAAGGACATGGTTTACAGAGATCAAAAGTGACCAATTTCCCTTATTTCTAAGGCTTAACTTTAGTTGAGAAAATGTGATAGATCCAGTTGAAAATGTAATATTATTTGATACTTTAGAGAGATGATAACTTTTATATATAAGATAAACTCACTACTGTTGATTTTTTTTGTCTTGTTTCTAGGACAAGAAGTTGAATACTTTGTGGCAGGCACACATCCATACCCACCGGGACCTGGTTAGTGAGCTGTTGGATATTGAAAATGTCTTAAAAATGTCACATACATTTTCACTAACGAGCCAATAATGACATTCTTGTTGCCTGTAAAATGCAAGATAAACTCAATAGCCAAGCATCCATGCATAGCTTTGTAGGTGATAATGAATACTCATGTGCCTTTATTCAGCAAACATTCTTGAGTATGTATAATTTTTCAGGCAATGTGCTAGGAATTCAAAGACAGTAAAACTGTTGCAGGCCTAGACAAATTTATTATCTGGTGGTTTAGGCAGACATGTAAATATCACCAAGCTTATAAAAATGATGGAAATGTTAGAGGCAGTATCTTAGAAACATGTCCTCTGTCTGTATTAAGGTATTGGCCCACAGATGGAGTGGCCAGTATAACCTGGTAGAGGACAAAAGGCTTAGTATATATAGAAAGTACAGGAAAATTGGGTGCCTCTGGTTGTAGTAAGTTACAACCACTCTTGGAAACATTCTGTTTGTATTTGAGGAACTGCTTAATACTGACTTTTGAAACTAATACCCAGATATAATGGAAATTAACTTTACTGTTCTGGGCTGCTTTAATACCTTGTAGGCTGTGATCAAATTTGAGTTATGTGTTACTAAGCAGTATTTATTGTAGAAATTAAAAACAAGATGAGCAAAACTTAATCAAAATTTGTATCACTGCCTGGAATTAATAAACGCTTGGAATGTTTTCCTTCATCATTTTATTTTAAGTGCATGTAAATGAATAATACAAAGCTACTAAAAGAAATTGATTTTTCATTTTAATAGGGGTTGCTTTGACAGCAGATACTAAGATCCAGAGAATGCCAAGTGAATCAGCTGCACAGTCCTTAGCAGTGGCATTACCTTCTCAGACCAAGTATGAAATATTATAATTACAAAGATCTTAAAAGCATATTTCACTGTTCACGTTTTTTCTTTTTAAAATTTCTTTATAACTATTGTATGACATTTTCCTTTATCAGGACTTATAACAATTTAAAATAAAGGGTTAGTTTTGCAGAATACATGACTGGAGGCATTAATTACTTTGAATATAATATTTCTTTTGCCTCAGGACTGATGTAAATCGTACTGCACCTAGTGGAAGTGAATACCGACATCCTGGGGCTTCTGACCGTCCACAGCCTACAGCGATGAATTCAGTAAGTTTTTCTGCGTCAAATAGCAGGTTTCTAACTTTTTAAACATGTTGCCTTATTTCCCTCTGATCGAAAGTCTTACCTTAAATACTAAAGAAATGAACACTTTGGAATTATTAAGATAAATAGCAGCCTGAGCTAGTCATTCATATTTCATAGCCCTAACACTCAAGTTGGTAGGAAATTAACATTTTTTGGAATGCTGTTATTTGTCTACTTGTACGTTGTGTATAATATGTATTTTGATAAAGATAATGTGATGTTGGTATTTATTGCCCACTATTAAAAATGCAAGGAGAGTTTTTCTGAAACCTGTGTTAGTATGCATTGCATATGAAAGTCTTTTTTTTTTTTTATTAAATTTTAAGTTGGTACAGTTATGTTGAGTGCTATTAGTGTTGTACTATTCATGGGCTATACAACTAGTCTTATAAATGAACATTTAGAAATAAGTTTATCTGTAGGTAAATGGCGACTGGTATTAGTATGGTAGAAGTAGTTGTAGAATTATTTTCTATAGTTATTTTATTGATTTATTTTTCTGCCATGTATTTTATTATGCTGCCACTTGAAATAAGTGCTGGCTTTGCTTCTCAGCTCATTATGCAGTTGTTTTGACTTCATGAAGTGAATGAATGTGTAACCCCCACATCTCATTTCTTCCTTTATCTTCCATTCAGAGCATATCTTCTATCCAGGCTCTCTACCCTCCTTATGAGGGTGTAATTTAAGCTTCTTGAGGGCAGGAACTTTATGGGCTTAATTATTTTTTGGATGACTAGATGACTGCTAACAATAGATGGTATATCAGGCAGTACACCTGTTAAAATAGTATTTAAATATTGTATTAGAAGATAAATAGAAGGAACTATCATATCAGTCTTTGCTACATTAAATCCATAAGGTTAAAATATGACAATGAAAGGCAGTGGCATTAATACACTTAAAATGATTTTAATAATGGGAGCTTACATGGAGCATTTACTACTTTTTACATCTTTGTAGTAACCCTGTGAAATAGGCACTATTCTTCCCATTTCATAGGTGAGGCACATAGAGGTTACGTAATTGTTACCTAATGTCAAACAGCTAGTAATGGGCCAAGCTGGGATTTGAACCCATACACAGTGATGTGTGTTCTTAAGTCTAATGTTCTGCCTCTCTCTGATTTTATAATTGCTTTTTAAAATTAACGTACAGAAAATTTTATTTCTTCATTTATGGAAAAAATCTTTTGTAAGTTCCCTCTTTCCATTTCCATTTCTGAATTGATACAAAGTCTTCGGTATGATATCTTTAATAATAATAATGTCTCTTCTATGTCTAGATTGTCATGGAGACCGGCAATACCAAGAACTCTGCACTGATGGCTAAAAAAGCCCCTACAATGCCAAAACCCCAGTGGCACCCACCGTGGAAACTCTACAGGGTGAGTGACTCTGCATTTATTTTATTATGTGAATCATGATTGCTTTCTCGCTGACAAGCACTGAAGAATAGAGTAAGGAGGAAAAAGAGTGAATATGAAAAACCGGTAGAGCAATCTGAGGTGGATTGAGAAGAGTCTTAGGGAGTATCTTAAAAGATCTTTTGGGAAGGCGACTTCCTTAAGTAAAAGTTATACTTGTATTTTATATAAAATCATATAAAATGTCAAGATAAAGCTACTAAATATGGATTGCAGACTAAATAAATTTAGAAAGTGTTCAAAGTATTTAGTTTGAAGGTGAAGGGGGAAAACACCATATAAAGAAATTCTTTGGGCCTACCAGTTATTCTTTGAACTACAATAAATTAAAATGAGTCAGAGTGTATCATCTAAAAGAAAATGGACCTGCGTGCTCACTTCAGCAGCCCATATGCTAAAATTGGAACAGTACAGAGAAGATGAGCATGGCCCTTCTGCAAGGATAACACAGATTCGTGAAGTGTTCCATACTGTTTATTTTGCATTGCTTGCCTGTATCAAAATATCTCATGTACCCCATAAATATATTTCTACTGCGTACCCACAAAAATTAAACACGAAATTTAAAAAAATAAAGTGTACATAGTAGAAAATGTACAACTACACGTA